CTAGCTTCTTCCCAAGCAAACCTCAAAATGATGGGTATGAATATGCCTAGCAAAGTGCATACTTCCAATATTTGCACTAGATACCCGAAACAAGTCATTTCAAAGCATTCCCTTGCATTAAAGGGATCGTAACTACCAAATGGCAAAATTGCCTTTCCAATCACGATAGTCGATCACACTGAGGCCACAAATTTAGTCCTGAACAATGTTAGCACACTTACAGCAGTGATGATCAGGGATGTTCGGCTGGTGTTCATTTCAATGATAAACCATATGATCAGAATCGACGCAACCAGGAAGAGAACCGTGCAAACAACCGAATACACTCGCTCCTGCAACGCATACTTACACAAACATGAATTAGCAAAATTATGGCTTCCTGAACTGTTCTGGTGAAGCATCCCATGTTACCTAAATGAAGGCATATTCTCCCGGCCTAGAATAAGAACTGAATTAGCTGCCCAGTCAAATAATACCTCTTTGAAGGCTAGGTTATCTGAGTAATTCCCAAAAACAATTCAATTACTGCTAAATGACGGACGTAGACTCCCACTCTCGCAAATCGCTGATTATAATGGAATATTACTGCTCCGATACAATGCAAATTAGTCCCTCCAACGAGCTAAATATGTGCATTTTAAGATGCTTCGGCCAAGTGGACGTCCCGATCTCAGATACCGAAAGTCATTCTTTTTGAAATTCAAAGTTTCAAATCACGAATCAATCGCAGTGGTTTTTAACAATTTAATTGCAACGGCACCAATTTCCAGGCGACTATGTTGAGGAAATTGACGATGAAAAAGATGATGTTGATAATGAGGACGATGAAGTTCAGCGCGGAGCAATATCCAAGACGACCCTCGCCGAAACAAGAACGACCACCATGCCTGTAAAATTTTCCAGATCATTAACTGATACTTGAAGCGCTACTATCAAAAGAACAGTTGAGTAGCCACTACGAAACCAGCAAGCGATGCAGCATCGGTTGAAACAAATGGAAAAGATGCTAGCTATGCCGCTGGAGAACCACGCTGTGAACTGCATCTGTTCAAAGTACAAAAAGAACTGTTCTAATCTAAATATTGTCATGGCCAAAAGTCAGCACAGTTGCGATTCGCCTCATTGGGCATAACTACGCACTTGGGGGAATATTCCGCCAAAAAACATGATAATTTCAAAAAACATGATAATTTCAGGGAAAAATATAAATATTCTGTATTCTGGTTAAGGACGACATTGCTAAGAATTTCTTTTTTTGGCACTAAATCTGCTGAGGATTGTAGGTGCCAAGAAATTTTGGGACAAGAAATCGATGCAAAATCATGTTTGGCACATCGATGTGCTAAGCAGCATAATGCGCCTAAAAGTTATCCTTCACCGTTCCTCAATTTCAAGGGCCTGTGAAGCGACAAGAATAAATGTTCCGCGCAAAAACATACAGCAGCAAGCATTTAGGAACCGAAGATGGAAGCAAAAATCAAACCAGCAGTTGCTTTTAGAAATCGGAGCCAGTAGGGGAGAGCTTACCAGGAAGCACAGAGGAGTGAGCAGATGACAAAACCGAGGATAATTTGCATAATTTTGATAAGACCTCGGTTGCTGCTCAGGTAACGAGTATTCATACCGATTTCACCCATTGTTTCTGCTCGTTCTTCGCACCTGCTGCTGAGTGCTGCTGTTCGTTAATGTGATATGCTAAAAACAATTCAGGAATACAGTGTCAATGATTTGAAAACACGTACGTCGTTTTCGGCACGTGAACAATGAACAATGTGATGTTTTTTCAAAGCCACATTCGAGTGCAATCTACTGTGATCTGCGTTGCTCTTAGTGCGTCTAAGATGCA